GCGAGGTTGTGCGGTCAGTGGGGTGGGGGTCATGGGGCTGGGGTGGGTGGTCAGCAAGGTTAGGAGATACCTTCTTAGGTATCTTAGGAGGGTGAGTTATCTCTCTCGGTTGGATAGCTCTATGGGGCTGTCAGGTGGATAGATGGTCACGGACTATAAAGAACCTCTGAGGTACAAAACCAAAGAATGGCTTTTTCATCTAGAAAGTAATTGTAAACATATACCTTTACCCATAACCTTTATGTTTTTTCGCACAAAGTTATACCAAAGAATACTGAACTGTGTTTATGTTTTGGAGAGGTGTGCTGATGTTACATTGTCTATAAGGTACATGTAGCGTGTTGTTACATGCACTAGCGTATCACCCAACGTCTAGACTGCAAGTCAAACAAGAGAATATTGCTGTTGCAGCTCACTTCTGTTTTTGCCCCTAGTCAAAGCTTTTGTGCTTAGTCGCTTTCTCACCTTTGTGATGGCAGGAATTTAACTGCAACATTGTGAACCTCGGTAATTTCTAACTCGTGTAACATGGTCGTATATGTCTTGGCAACTGTTGCTATGCTGTCAAGTGTTGATTGAACGTACGCAGTGAGGTGATGATGGTCGGGTGGGCGCTTTATCGAAGAAATGTGTTGGCCTATTGTATTGTCATGACACTTAACGACCGTCAATAATAGCGGTAAAGTGTTTGTGGCTGTGTGTGTGTGTGTGCGTGCGTGTGTGTGTGTGTGCGTGCGTGCGTGTGTGATCATTTCAATTTCTTTGTTCCAGTGTAACGGTCTTTGGGTGTTAAGAATGTTTATTTTTGTGTGGAAAATATGCATATCACATTTATGGGATGTAGTATCGGTTAGTCGTAGCAGTTCATATGTGCGTTATATGCTGCGTTAGGAATATCCACATTATTTGGCCTATTCTTGTTAAAACGAAATGACTGTTTCTCTGCTCGCATGTGTGTATGTGTGTGTGCGCATTCGTATAATACATTTAACGTTGCATAGACGTCTAGCCGGGTATTGCATTGATTAAACTAGTTTGGATATCAATATCTCGAACCTTCGTATATATATATATAATATATATATGTATATATATATTATCAGGGGTGAATAATAATAGATAATAATATTATAATACATTCCTGATATTATGTAATTTACGTAGGTTAAAGGTATGGTATACCACATATGCTGTGCGTCCGCATATGTTAATGTGGCTTCAATTTGTAATTACATTACCTT